CCGGAGACAACCAGCAACTGAGTGACGACTGAGAACTCCCCAGTAGCTAACTAGCCTCTACTCAATCTTTCACAACTCAGATAATTATAAGATGTTCAAAAATGTTCCCCGTGGGTATCTTGCAGTGCCAGTGTAACAATCTTTCAGAAAAAACCTTTGACCTAAAGCAGGCATCCAAACGACCAATTTCTTCTGTTGCCACTTATTACGCCTAACGGCGCATCATGACTGTTACGAATTTCTCAAAAGATACTTTAATGCCATGGGTATCTTATGCATAATTATGACTCGTAGTATAATTATAATATTATGGGTCTAAAAGATGCACCAATTCAACCTGTTTATAGTTGGTTTACGGAGTCCCCAGAGTGATAGTTATTCATGTGAATTGGTGAAATGAGCTAGCCATGCTATATATAATACACATCGTAATGATGAAAATGAGCTACTAACACTTGCCGCATGATTGATGACAGTGACGACACAGTAGTATGACCATCAGTGATGAGATAGATAAAAAGAGAAATCAGAGAGGTGCTATCGTGACTGTGATTCAAACACACACACACACACTAAAAACATTCCGAGAAATAAAATAATACGTGAATATTGAACAGTATTGTGAGACGATCATCCTACACGATGGTTGATTCGTCCTGTTCACCTTTGACCCCCGTTCTTCGAGTGGTCTCCGTGATTTAGGTTTCTGGCTGACTCTGTTCTTGGTGAGGGCCGGTAATGGAGTGTGCCCTCCTAGAGCTGTGACAACAGAGATGAGAGCGGCAATAAAAGATATGAGGTTTTGATGGTTCCTAGCACTATACATTCTAATCGAAATTTGTCTTTTTATAGGGGCATTAGGGTATTGTCAGTACATATAAGGGTAGAAATGTTACTAAAGATAGAGAACCAAAACAATAGAGCCCAGTGAAAGAATGCAATTTAAGTTTTTAGTATAACAGAGTCTAACGATTTAGCCCTATACTGCCACGTTGCCTTTAACAAACATCTCTAGAAAGTATAAGTGTACACTCGATTGCATAATGTAATACGAAACTTTGCTGGCTGACTGATTTTGTGTGAGAGTATATATAAGAGGAGAGGTTCTTACAAGGGAAGGTGGTGATGTCATTGTCGAGGGTGGGGGAGGAGTCACGAGAGTCGATGACCCACGAGGCGTGATGGTCTCGTGTGAATGGCTCCAACTTTGGGAGATTCACCGTCAGTTCCACCCTGCGGTGTGGGAGAGAAACATTGCCTTTACCGTGGAACTCCTCTAAACTATTAACTATTGGGACACCAATGGGACGGTCGAACGAATAATGTCAATATCAGTGAGGTGTCCTTATTTCAAGGGTTAAATTGCATGATGTGTCAACAACAAGGTGAGGTAGAAAGGCAAAGACGAAGTCAACTACACCAGCCAGGACAACTCTTTCTTCCACGCAAGATGCAACAGAAAAGGCATCCTCAACTAAAGGGCTACCTTAGAGTGGGTTTCCACAACACTACATATGCCATACACTCGGTGATGGAACTGGCTATTGTATCGACACTGTGAAGCTACTAAATTGGCACCCTGTTGTGTGGATAACCTGACAAAGGAGTTAAAATGTCTGTGCTAACCTTTCCCTCTCAATCTCCTGAAGTTCACTGGTGAGTCTCAGTCTCTCCTCTTCTTCCTCCTCCTTCTTCTTCCCTTCTTCCCTCCCTCCCCCTCCCTCTCTCCCCCTCCCCCTCCTCCCCCTCTCTCCTCCTCCTGCTACTCTCCCTGGACTCACGGCAGGGTCTGAGCTACCTGTGGCGGCTCCCGAGGTCTTCTTTGAAGAGCTCTGGAATGAAGGGAAGGAAATATTAGTCACACAAACAGATGTTGTCTTTGCTACTTGTCTAATTCAACGAAGTACTTTATCACCAAAACACTGCGATTTGTTCTGTTCAAAAGTGGAGATGATTCATTGCATTGCTCCTATTTAGTAGCATGCACAGTGGAATCTTTGTAGTATGGAATAGTAATATGCTTGCTCTATCTACTGTATCTGCATTAATCCTTCTTCACCTCTATTACAACGTCCCCTACTTCCGAACCTCAAAATATGGGTGTCAACAATTTCGCATTTTCTGTTGGAACATCAGTGCAACAAGAGACAAGCCAACCGTGCCTAATCTTTTACTATCATTGGAGTATGGAATAGTAATGTATACTTACTTGCTGCACCTCTCTCTATCTAGCTTCACCAATCCTTCTTTCACCTCTATTTTCACCTATACTCCCAACCTCAAAATAAGGGTGTCAACGATTTCGCATTTTCTGTTGGAACATCAGTGCAAGAAGAGACAAGCCAACCATGCCTAATCTTTTCACTATCATTGGAGTATGGAATAGTAATGTATACTTACTTGTCTGCACCTCTCTCTATCTAGCTTCACCAATCCTCTCATTTTCACCATATACTTTCCCAACCTCAAAATAGGGTGTCAACGATTTCGCAATTTTCTGTAGGAACATCAGTGCAAGAAGAGACAAGCCAACCACGCCTAATCTTCTTTACTATCGTGGGAGTATTGGTAATAGCAATGTATACTTACTTTCTCTGCACTCTCTCCATCTAGCTTCACCAATCCTCTATTTTCACTCAATACTTCCCAACCTCAATAATTATGTCTGGTGTCAAGCGATTTCGCATTTTCTGATTGGAACATCAGTGCAAGAAGAGACAAGCCACCATGGCCTATCTTTTACTATCATGGAGTATGGAATAGTAAAATAGTGTACTTACTTGCTCGCACACGCGCTCGTCTCTATCTAGCTTCAACCCATCCTCTATTTTCATCAACAATACTTCCCTATACCTCAACACAATATGAGGTGTCAACGATTGTCGCCATTTTTCTGTTGAACATCAGTGCAAGAGAGACAAGCCAACCATGCCTTAATCTTTTTACTATCATGCGAGAGTATGGAAATAGTAATTGATGTACTGTACATCTGACTGCACCTGCTCTCTATTCTAGCTCATCCAAGTCCTCTATGTTCACCACAATACTTCCCACCTCAAATACATATCATGGGTGTCAACGATGTTTCGCATTTGCTGTAGGAACATGCAGTGCAAGAGCGACACAGCTCACATGCCTAATCCTTTTACGAGTATGGATGCAATGAAGTTATGGAACTCTGAGCACATCAAGATACACAATGTGAGTGTTGAACAAACGATTAGTAGGGATGAGCATTTTTATAAGTTACATTCGGGGGGCACATCAAAACGGTACAGACCTCTCAGAGCTGATGAGTTCGGTGTGTTTCGAGGCGGTGTTGTAGTTCCACCACAATCAGAGTCTCAATTCCCTCAGGTTTGGAGTCTGTTCAGATTCTCAACCTGCTTCCTTCTATTATCACTCCAACACTCTGTTGCGACAAAATAATTCTATAATCTATCTATTTCACTGGCGCATTTTATAGGATTAAGTGTTTTTGTGAGAAGATAAAGAACAAAATGTAAAGTCATTTAAATTCCCGTGTGACATAAAAATAGAAAAGTTGGAATTGACTTTGGTAGATTTATAATATTGCGTTGAACTATTCCTGTTTTTGCTATGGAAATCGAGTAGATACTACTATATATTTTTATAGCTCTGTTTACAAACATATTATTACTAAATCTTTATAATTCTAACTGACTACTTATTAGCATTGGAAGTATATGATGAAGGCCTATTGGAAGTGTTTCACTGGGAAAAGAAGGGTTTTTGTGACAACGTATAGGTTGAAGGTGTTTCATCCAGCTGACATGGTCTGCTTGGCCATGTTCCTTGATGAGGTCCGGAGGGTTTCTTGATCTTGGTCTCTCATCCTTGAAACAGACACACGCGCAAGATATCGCCACGCTCCATCCTGATAGGACGGCAGGTGCTCAGCTGTTAGCCGTGAACTCTTCGTTGTCTGCCACCCTGCAGTGGAGTCCAGTGGCAGTGCAAAAAGAGCCAAGCTTAGCCGCCACACAAGCGCACCAAATTACATTAAAGCAAGCACGACTCTCAGATTTCCATCTGCTGATCAGTAGAACAAGCTTGCCAGTAAAGCTGCACTATGGGGGACGCGATTACACTTTACTCGGCCTGTGTGGTCAGTACTTCCCTGCTAGAAAATGCTGAGCAGGCTAGTGAGTCTATGAGCTGTATACAGCGCACTTATAGCATGACTACGCTTACTCATGCCGCCATTTGTGCTAAATAATCCTGACCGAGCAAGGTGAGATGAGTCTCTCAACTACGGCATAGTTGATGGCCGGAATGTCTGTTAGACGATGATGTAATGCCTCCAGCATCTCCTCCCTGTCTGTCAGATCTGTCGTTGCAACAGAAACACTAGTAAAGTAGTGGACAGACAGACTCGGAAGTTTCGAAGTCTTCATATATCACAAAAATCTGTCACATCGTCAAACAGGAGACTGATGTACCTGAACTTAGTAACACTAAGGCCCGCGCACTATTTGATTATAGTTTGAGATCGATCATTGACACCAATTGATCCGCAGACAACCACCGTCTTTATGAACAACTTAAAACCGGGTATAGGTAGTAAGAGTGTTCCTACTTATGTTGTAGACCTATAGTTCTGAGAATGTCAGTGTAGCGGTTCCTTGGGTATGGAGGGGAGGTGGGGGAGCTTCTCGAAAGAAACGGGCCCCAACTTTGCCGCCAGGCCAACTGCGCATTCCAACCATGGAATCCCTCCAGGGAAAACCAAAACCCCCAAACCCTTTGGGTTCTTGTAGTGGTTGATGGGAATCAATTAAAAAAAAAAATCATCTGATTATATCGATGTTGAAGTGTTGAGTTATTCGGAGATGACCTGGTATCATACCTATAGATCTAGACATCATCGTATAGATTTATTATGAGATACTTCATTTATTTGTATATAGAACCGATGGTGGGAGTGTAAATGTGAGACGAAATGAGTTACGAAGAGATAGGTGATGTGAATGCGTTTCATGATGAGGGGTGTGAGAAGTATGATGGTGTTTAGTGATGAGATAAGTTGACAGGAGTGGTGGTGGTGGAGGAGTAGACTATGCAAGAAGTTGGAAGCACGGATAGCGGCCAGGGTAGAACGGAGATTGGACCGAGAAGTAGGCTCCGAGAGGTGATAGGAAAAGAAAGATACAAGTCCGATCATACGCCTGACGCGTATGAGTCTATGCTGAGTGTATCACCGTACGAACCTGTCGATCGCACAGTAATGCGACGAGAGGAGTGTAGGAGGTGGTAGAAGAGGAGGTGCGATGTGGGCGCGTGAATAGGATGTGGATGGGGGTTGCTGCGTGAATCCCTCTAGAACTATCGAATACGAATCCGAAACTCCCACT